TTACCTACTGTGCACTTTTCAAACAGTGACTTGTCCATAATCAAAATTGACAGAGAACCCTGAATATAACTCATACACACCAGCAGAATAGACACGTGCTATGGAGTTACTATAGGACTTTACTTTGTTTCTAATCTTTTACCAGAAAAAAAAAAAAAGTGTAGGTCATCAGGTAAACAGCTACTACATCCTATAGAACTAAAAGTATCTGCCAAAATAAAATTCTTGGGTAACTAAATTATTGCTTATTGCTCAAAAAAGAAAAACAATTACATTACATTCCCTCTACCTTCACAACCGTTGCTCCTAGCTGAACTTCAGCAATCTCATTCAATCTAGTCATGAACTATCTTCTAGTTTAAGGACAAAAGAACAAGAGAAGATTGTCTTTCGCGTTCTCTATAAAAATCAGTCAAAAATATTTGCTGAAACAAATTATACTTCTTAACCTTTGATAAGCTTTATCATCTCAAAACAGTGTTTTATCAATTTCTTATGTAAATGTTTTTCAGATGAAAAGAGCAAATCCTAAAAACAAAGTTTAATCTTCCCAATGAGTCATTAAAAAGAAACTGTTTCTAAGCCTTTGTGCTCATAAATACCTTTCCTGGGAGCTAACCCAGTGAGTCTCTTAAAGCCACTATTTTTTTTTTTTTTTTTTAGCGAAAGCCTGAAATTGTCAATACAGAAAATTTCAAAGCTGCAAATGAAAATAAAATATTGAAAATAACTTCAAGTGCCAAATGTAATTCTTCTATGCAGTTTTTTTTTAAGGCTTGCGCTTCTTTTCCACAGCCCGCCCCCCCACACAAAAAAAGAGCAATTTATATTCAGAACATTGTGAATGTTCCTTTTAGAGGAGAAGCACCTGAAATGAAAATATATTTATTGTCAATATCATCAATATTTTTTCATCAAAAGCTGTACCTAACATTCAATGGATAACGAGTATGTGACAATGAACTGGAAAATGTATACCTACTGACTTTTTAGCACTCAGACTAATTAAAACACTTAGCAGCAAATTGCAAATAGAGACACTGTATTTTACAGTATATATATTATATAACATCTTGTCATTAGGAGACAAAACGTGCTGCATAAACAAGTCAGGCAGAATATGGGGATTTACTACCTTTACCACAGATGTGGCTAAAATCTTCTCCAAATGTCACATAAAATTCTCTCTTTCACAGCGAATCTTAAATACAGTGCTTTCTTAGGGGTCTGTTTTGTGTCCCTCTGTTAATCGTATGGCATTTCCATTTTCTTTTGTGGTGGTGTTTCCAATTGTCGTTTTCCTTCGTCAAACCAGGGTAAACTATTCTGGCAATCATCTTGTGAAACCTACCAAAGAGCCAGCGTGTATGAGATCTGGGTTTGAGGGATTCAGCCCTGGGTGCATTGCTCTAAGACTTTCTCTGCATAACTGCTAATTTTCTTCCCTGTTCCAGATAGCAAAGACTGATAAATGATCTAAAAAATGTTACCATGCCCTGATTTCCCAACAGCTTTAACAAATTCTCTTAAGGTGAAGTGCACATCCACACACAGGAGGAAAACCGCTAAGACTTCAAACGTCTATATGGAGTTCACCGTCTGCTTTTTCTCTAGAAATTAAGGACTTCTACCATGTCTTGCAAACTGTTCCTTGAAAATACAGTCAATTTTTTCCTACTGCATTTCAACTTCTTTTGGCCCTGAACCTGTGCTAGTTTGATTCTTTTAAATCTTCATTAGGAAATTAAGGAAATGATAGTAGAGGTTAAGTGAGGGATGGATTATCCATCGCATCTGTCCGTGAGGTCACAATGATGCAAAAGACTATGTTTTAAAAGATGCTTGGGAGCAACTTTAGAAAGATGGCAGTAGACGCAGCCCTTATATCCACTGTGGAGCACATGGATTTCAATAGGATGTTCATATACATACTGATAAAAGTACAAATATTTTGATTAGGAAATATACCACTTGTTGACACTGTTGCCTAGAAGCAGCCATAATAATTTCTAATCACAGACACAATGAATATGTATCCACAAACATTATACAAACTCCCACACGCTCACAGAGGGGGTGCCTCTACAGGGCTGAGAGTATGCTATCTTACATGAAATATTATTATTCCTTAGAAGGGAAAGAAATGATGTTTCAGATGATTTTGTCTAACCACAAAAGAAGACGGAATTCTACATTATTTCTGTGCTCTCCTAAGATATCTAAGAATACGAACTTGGAAAACTTAAGTGCCATGATACACTTCTGGTTCAAGAAACTATGACGATATTCTACTCTTTCATCCCAAGATTAATTCTTTTTTAAAAGTTCTTTTTTGGAAGAACAGTTTGCTTAGGTTCAATTTGCAACCTAAGTTAAAGAAGCATTTACATCCTAAACATCCGGAATAAGCAAGCAAACAGAACTCAGATGCAGGTTGTTTTAATTGCTTAAATTATTTTTAAAACATAAGGTAACTTGACATTTTAAAGCAATTACAATTAGTTTTCAAAGAAATGCGCTGGTGCTTCGCATTCTGCCTGCAAAAAGGCAATCACTTACAGAGTAAAGTACTGGGTTTTTTATGTCATCCAATACACGTTCAACTTTGCCAAATAGGTTTTAAAGTCTCTTAACAAACTGTCCAAGTGGGAGGCAGAGGGACAGAAAGAAAACAAAAAAAAAAACAGCTACTAAATGAGAGAAGTTATTTAGAAAAACTGTTTCATCTACCTAGGCTTTAAAAGAAGGAAGGGGAAAAAAACGAAAAACAAAAAACATGTCTTTGCTGGCTTCAGAAACACTCGTTTAGAAACAACACGGGTGCGGTAGGAAGGATGCAATGAAAGCACACAGGTAATTTTAAAAGGCATTGTCTAGAAACAGAAATGAGGAGAAAACAACCTCAATGCTCTGTGATTACCCAAGAACGGGTTTATCCAGATGAACGAGTCTGTTATAAACCCTCCCCAAGGCATTTGAAAGACTATCAAACAAAACTTTATTAAACTGGATTACACAGTCTCACTCATTAGATGTTGAAGGCCACAATGTTTATGATGAGGTGGAGAAGTCAGTGCATGGGACCCACATTAGGCCTAGGTCCTCTTTTTAGTTTGTTTTTATAGTACGAGCATTGTTAAGACACCCCACATTAAGTTTCTTTGCCAGCAGGTCAAGTTCCTGAATGCCAGGTAGAAGCATTCAGCACTAAACCCTGCCAGGGGTTGAAAGGCTATTTAGATATGGTCTAACTACATCCCTGCAATAAGCAGTTGATTACATCGTTATATGCAATTGTACTCTTCTTTTATTAGGAGACTTTAACCCTGTTCCCTTCTTCTTATCACCCGGTTCAAGGACTTCTACATGAGACAAAAAACGAAGTACAAATATTTATTTCACTTCTCCTTCATCAAAAATTCAGGTAAAAGCCCATTTTCAACGCTTCCTTAATCAACATGTATCCTGTAAAAGGACAGTCTAGTATTTCTGCATGGAATACTTTCCCAACACTTGGCATTTTTATCTTGCACCCTTCAGATGGAAGTTTTTATTATATGCTTAATTCTTTCGTGGGTGTTCAACTGTAAACGTAATTTCTTCCTTGCACTGTTTATGTAGGGTTTTTCCTTTTCTATGATCGATTTGTCTCTATCTAAAAACCTCAGGCCAAAACAACTCATTCATTTCGTAGATAAATACATGAGATGTATTTATTTTTAAAAGTCGTTTCTCAAAAAAAGTCCTGGAATCTACCAGACTGTGTGTCGCACTTTTCTGATTTTAGTCAGTAGTGTTTATCACTGAGCTATCAAGCCATGCTTCTTGCTACTTGCTAACACGTACACAAAATGTCTGCAACCGTATTCCTCTCTGGGCTGTATCTCAGCAATGACCTTTGTTCAAAGGCTTTTACTTTTTAATGCAGCAGTTAGAGATAACTACTTCATTTATCAAAACTCAATTTCCATAGTAACATCTAGCCTGGGGAGATCCAAGTCCTCACACTAATCCAACAGCCCATTCAAAGGCACTGTTGAATACTTGGGTTTCCATAGCAATGATGGGATAATACATTTTGCTAGGTCATTGCTTTTATTAGCAAACTTATTCTTTGAACTTTAGGTAAGGCTCTATTTATTGAGGAAAGAAACACAATCACTTTATATAAGTTCTTTCCTTTAGGGCTGTTCTTTTAAGAAAATCACAAACAGTAACCGTCTATATATTTGAAAATGTTAGGAGTATTGGAAGGCTGACACCTAGTCTCACCTGAAAATGGGTTCCCATAGAGTTTTTAAATTAAGAAGCTCTTGAAAGTGACTGGTTGAGATGGAACAAAATAAATATTTATCCAAGTAAAGGGGCTCAACTTGAAAACACATTTCAAACAAAGATGAAACATAAGCTAGAATAAAGATGTCTCTCAAAAACATCCAATGGGGGTTGGGGTAGGGGGAGAACTGTGAAACCCAAGCCCCCGTTTCTGACTGCCTGTTTAATGTTCTGCGGTACTTTCAGCCTACCTGTCATCAAGCACGGAAAATGTGGTAAGTATTCCTCAGGTATTTTAAGTTAGAGGGGGAAACGAAGGATAATGTATTGAGCAGTTATGTGGCACATGCAAAGTGGGAAGGTTTTTCATATTCAAAATGGCTTTATCAAGAAAAACAGTTTGCTACAAAGGGAGAACTTTTTTTTTTTTTCCGTTCAAGATAGAAATAGCAATGCCATTAGTAAACATCAGTGCCTATGGTTTTTGGGTAATTAATTCTGTGTGAGGTGACAGGGCAAGGGCTGGGTAAGGGAACTTAGCCTTCTGGAACCAGCCTTTCTCAGGGAACTGAATTTTGAGTCAAGCCAGTGCTGAAAAGGTAGGCCATTAAAAAAATAAAAGTTGACAGAAGAAAGAAAAGATCAAACATGGGCTGGCTTTTAAAAGGATGAATACCACTTACACTATTTACACAACTCACAGAATTAACAAGAAAATTACATACCAGTATGAGTCCTCAGGTGAGCTTTTAAATGAGAAGACTTTGTATAAACTTTTGTGCAGCCTAAAATAGAGGAGAGGGAGAACAGCTTGTTATTTGGAGATCCTTTTGAAATCTTTACATTCGATGATTCAGTGTTTGAAATCTGGCTTTAAAGAAGAAATCTCTCATGCTGGATGAGATACTTGAAGCTTCAATTTAAAGTCTTAAAGGGCCTCCCCCATTATTATTAAAGGCATCCAGTGATCTACGTAATGCCTAAGTAGGAAACAAGAGATAATCAAGCCAAGGTACAAATGGAAATTTTGTGTCTGTATTCCAGAAGGTGCTTTCCACTAGTAACAAGTACTTCAGTAACTTAAGAGCTACTATAGTATATGTTCTGAAAAAAAATGTTAATGGCTCTAGAGCTGACAATGTTAAGCCATTAACCAAGATGACTGTAATTTTCTGTACTCCTGCCGTTCCTGTTTTTCATTTAACGTGCCATATCGTATCAGGCACCACAGTTAATAAACTGTGCCCGATATTAATCATAAACTAGCTTATGCCAGCAACTTGGAAATATATTCCTTGCTATCACTACTTCATACTTGGGGTCATATAGCCCAGTTAAAGAATTAAGAGAGCGGGGCCAGCAGGTGGCATGGTGTGTAAGGGCGCTGGACTCTCACATGGTCCACTGAGGTTCGAGTCCTGGACCTGGTGTCTTGCTTTCTTGCTTTCCCTCTCTCTGTCCCTCTCTGGTCAAATTTAAATAAATAAATAATAAAGTCAAATAATTATTTTATAAAATGAATTACGAGAGCATATAGTTCATATGCTGTCGAGCCATCCTTTTAAAAATCTATCCTGCGGAACACTTCTGTACCTATCATCAGATTAGCTACCCACAAGGCCCACCTCATTACCATACTGTATTTCCCTTTACTCTACTGAATCTCTTTCCAAAGCACTTAAGTTAAAATTCTAAATGCTATTACTCTTACATAACTCTAATCATATATATATATACATACATATATATGTATACATACATATAATATATACGTATGTATATATATTAAATTTTAATAGTAAAAAGAGTCCAAGGTAACTATTTTCCAGATTTTGCTTTTTACTGTTAGAGACAACGTTCCTATGTAAATTGAAAGCCAGAGAATGAAGAAGCTGCATGCACACACATACACACCCAAACACTTAACTACATCTATTGCTACTTCAGCCAGGCAAGAGCACGTACCAGGGTAATCGCAGTAGTGGATGCGTCGTTTCTCCAAGTCAGGGTTACTCCTTCTATTGTATCTGACAGGTTGTGTGTTACGGCCTGCCATGGCGGCTGACATAGAAACGTTAAGAGTGTCCATTACTGCTGTCTGGTTTGTAGAACTGGGCATATCTAGATCCGGTGTATTCAGGAGCTGGTACAGGTGGCCCTGCTGGGGAGGGACAGAAAGATGAAGATCTGGTGTAGGAAGTTCTTGTTTGATGAAAATATTGTTCACCTCTGGAGCTGCGGTCTGGTGTGAGCTGAATATACTGGTGAACTCGGGGAGGGCCTGGGTCGGGGCCGGAGGAGGGGCAGTCGTTTCACTCTGGTGGCTGAAAATGGTAACAGGTTCTGTCTTGATGTGTGTTACGCACGGTCTCTGGGATTTGTAGAGGCCAGTTCTCAGGTGAGTGATGTCAGGGAGGAAGACGTTCATGTTGATACTGTAAGGTAACCCTTCACTGTCAGTGAAGAACTGGTCTACGACTGAGGCACTGTCTCGTCTATACTTTTTATGCTCTGGAATTATAGGAACTGGAGGAAGCTGAGGTGTCAGATACTTCTCCATTTCACATCTTGTCTGAAAAAGAAGAAATACAAACATGCATCACCCACCGGATTCTTCATTGCCGGAGGGACAGATAAACAGTGCTTCCTGAGAGCTCACAACCAGCCCTGTGTAAAAAATATCGGGGCGTGCTCCTTTTCTAAGTGTGGCTTACAAACGTATCGAGCTTATTTTGTCAATTGTGTAATCATTGGTTCACCCAAACCTTACGAAACTACGTATAAAATCTATTTGGCAAAACTGTTCCCCCAACCAACCCCAGACAAAAAGTGAAAGAAGCAAATCAAGGAAAAAAGGAAGCAAACAGAAAACATGCTCCTCTCTGATGCAATCCTATCCCCACTCCAGAAGGAGGGTTCCCTGCTCCCTGACACCCTTTGCTCTAAAATACTGCCAAATAACCTCGGTTCTGTTCATGTCATAGAGTTAAGTATAACCTGTTAAAAAAAAAAAAAAGACTCCACAAACCTTAAAAATAATACTGCAAAGGTTTTTTTTGTTGTTGTTGTTTTTGTTTGTTTGTTTGGTTAGGTATTTCCGAACATTCTAATCTAAAGCATTCTTCGGCTACTTGGGTGCCTTTTTTGTTGTTTATAGTTCAATGGAAACTTAAATACAATGTCTTCAGCAAATCACAGGATCCGCTGAAACAAAACCATTTCACATTCAACATTTGATCTGAAGGTTGATTTTAATCAGCAGATTCTGTAATTAGTTAATATGATAATGAAATGTTCCTATTCATATCCCTATCTAAAACAGATCTTTAATTACCTAGGGGAAGATCACTCCCTTGGTGGAGTGGTGTATGGGAGCCGTGGGTGGGTAGGCTGCTTGCTGCCTGGCCAGCAGAGTCATCAGCAAAACATTTCTCACGTCCTCCTCAGTGGGCCAACGCTACATTCCCCCTTACTCTGTAAAAAGCTCAGTCATCCCTTATGGTCTCGGTGTCTCCTAAGCAGAGAACCAACCAACCGAAATAACCAAATAGTTTTCAAATGGCAATATTTCTTTCAAGGACATAATCCAGCTTGTAACACGTCTGTTTCTAGCCATCTACTCTCTTAGCGTGACATAAACTTCATTTTCCTTTCATTTTTAAGATTAAAAAGGGATTTTAAAAGAAAAAGAAAACTAGACAGAACGGCTCATGGAGCTATTCATCGTGGCACCTTACTCGGTGAATAAGACAGTCATTTTCTAGCACTTAGTGTCAAAAGCCTTACATCTCGAACCTCAGATCACTCGATGTGGATGTGTACGGGGCTTCCCGGATAGACACGATTTAAAAATAAAAATAAACGCTCTAGTCATATGAGTCACATCTCTGACAAACGCCACTGCCCTCTCACAGCACGTCGACACTGACCGACACTCCGGAGTTAGCAGGTAGTCCGAGCTAGGTAGGAAATACACACTATATAACCAAGGGGCTGTTAAATGAAGCGTCTTGAAATAAACCGAACTAAAACCCTTTCGTGCACTGCGCTCCCGTGGCGGTTAGTGGTTTCTGATTTTAGCTCTTCCAGCTGTTTGCATGTGGGTATGTTTCCAATTTTTTTTTTTTCCTTGGGACAGGCTAAAAGTCCCGGGAAGTTTTTTCTGGGCTATATGACTCCCTGCGTGGGCGAAAGAAACCGGCGGTTGCTCTAATTCGGCTGCTGGGCAAGTATAAAAGCCAACTGCCAGCTTTCAACGCGGCTCCAGGAGGAAATTTACGCGCACACGAAGAAAACAACACCGCTAGTCCTTTTTGGTCTTTCTTTTTAAGGAAATTAAAACGCGCTCCGATACAACCTTAGCTTTTCTACGTCCTATTTCCCTAACTCAGCCCCATGATCGCTTCTAAATCAGATTAAGCCAGCCGTGGAGTAAGAGATCCCGAGAAACCTCTCCCAGCACCTCAATTCGTGCTTGGGGGTGCGGGGTGGGGGGGAAGAGACCTCCAAGACCAGGGCACTGGGAGGGAGCGTAAAAGGCGAAGGGTGATCTAAGTCAAGTCGATCAGCAGGTACCGGGTTTCATACCCCATGTAAGAAAAACAACTAAGGTGAGCATGGGCACCCAGTTCCCTCCAACCTCTCGGGCGGACCCACAAAGGCAGCTACACCTCGGACCATTCCCTCCCTCCTAGATCTCCCCTCCCAGGTCTCCCCTCCCATCCACCCGCAGCGAAACGCGGTGCCTAGGCTAGGCGGGCAGGGCGGGGCTGCCCACCCCAACTCCGGCTCCCGGTGCGCCCCGACGCACGCCCAGCCTGGAGCGGCCCCTGGCGCCCGCGCGTCGCAGCGGGGGACCCACACC